TTTCTACTTTCTACCATCAAAATTGAAATAATTTTGACCATTGAAATCACCAAACCAATTTGGGCTGCATGTATAGTTATCACCCACTAGCATAAAGTTGGTGTTAAGGCTGGTTTGAAAATTCAGCAACTCAGGAGGTTGCAACCTGGTTTCTGTTTTGTTGGGACATGCTTACCTAGGGTAAGAAATGAATTGGGCAAAAGCCAATGTTCTACTACCCAAAATTATAAATTTGATTAGTATCCAAAAAAATAATTAATTTATATAGTAGAACAAATACTCTTTTCTATTAATGACAGAATGTGGAAGAAATCCAACAGGCTCATTGAAAAAGAAACAGTGCAATTTCAGAGCCCCAACCCACCATGAATCACAAATTCCTCCCTGAGCTTGAAATGAGTTGCAAATTTTCATTGCTGGATGTTTATGTGCACACCTAACATTACAACTCTTCAACCCAGGTTGTTGCAATCTTCAGAGTCTGGTTGCAGAGCCAGACATCTTTACCCTAGAGGTAGGATCATTGCAAGAACTTTTCAGCCAACATGCATATTCGGGTAATTCCAGTCCAAGTACTGTGAGAGAAACTAGGTAGGGTTTGCAAGAACATCCTTGACAATGATGTAATTTTGTTAAACTCCAGGGCCATGCCTCCATCCCCTGGAATTTAATTGCATCATCTCATCAGGGGAGCCTTGGTCAGATTAGCCTTGTGAACACAAGGAATGTGAGTAAAACATTCAGAATAGCACATGCACTTCGACACCTGTAAAGTTTCCAATAATCAAAGCATTATATACTGAATTGCTTCATATCATTATTGAATTGTTTCTTTTGCAACAGTCATGTTGCCTTGACATCTTATTATTTAATATTAATATTAGTAATGGTTAAGAAAAGTAAAATGACACCAATGGTTTATTTATTATCATGATAAAGAATCTTATAATAAATACCCAAGACATACAGTTCTGCTCCACAATACAGTCAAAGCTCATTACAGTGAATCCTGTTACAGTGAACAATAGTAAAAGCTTGTTACAGTGAACTCTTGTTACAATGAACATGAATAAAATTTTTCAGAAGGAACCAGGGGTTCACTGTAATGAGCTTTGACTAATACATTTATAAAGAATAATATATCAACATACAAAAATAAAAAAATAAAATAAATAGCATACCTTGTCATTATAAACAACACACCTTTCCTTTTGAACTGATCAAGATGAGAAATGTGAATGACTGTCAAAAAAAAAAACCAATTGTGTCTAGGGGCTTGTACAACCTATAACATCATAAATAATAATAATTAGTTGTCATTTGTCAATCAAAAATCTTCTTTTTTCCAAAAATTGTTTATTAAAAATTTTTATTAAAAAAATAATAATGCCCAAAAATTCTAAAGCAGTCATGAAAAAAAGAAAATCCCAAACCAAAAACAATGAAATTATTAATGAGTAAGTGTCATTTATTAAAAAACATGGAAACAAGCCAGATGCTACCTTAAATTTAATACTTGCATTAAGGAACTTATTGGAGGTTGGGTTTTGTGAAGTTTCGGGTCCACCTGAAGGTGATACTTTGGACAAATATAGAGATGATTACAACAAATCAGTATGATTTGGAGTGGATAGTAAAATTAGATTCCTTAATCATTTATTAACAATTAGTAAGTCATACTTAATAGAAAATTTAAAAGGTGCCTTGAAACTTCCAGTTTTACTTATACAATGGAAAGGTTAAGTTATATAAAATTATTCTTAGTTTGTAATATTACATCTTAAAGATTAAAATAACTTATTTTTAAACATTATAGGACTAAAAATGGAAATTTTTTTATTTTCACAAGTTGGTTGTATGAAGAACAATGATACTGGAGGTTTATTACCAATAGGGCAAGTGTATACATGCAGCCCAAATTGGTTTGGTGATTTCAATGGTCAAAATTATTTCAATTTTGATGGTAGAAAGTAGAAATT